CAGATTGCACAAGAACTCTAAATTTGGCAAATGGCAATCTCTACGGTGCAGTGGGAAAACACTTCTAAACTCGGAATGAAAGCTGCAAATGAAGGCACTACAAAACTTATATCCAGCATGCCCGGTCGTTAGTTATTAATGAACGAGAAAGAAGGGAATCAGGGTAAGTAACACATAAGAAGAAAATGAGGTTTCCATTGTTGTCTCTTATCTAAGGAAATCACTGACCACATAAGGGAAAATGAAAAAATTTCAATTTAGTGACTTGCCCAGCAGCAAAATCAAAGGCAGGTGCCGGATATAATAGACAGTACTGGCCAAACTGTTTCTGCACAGCACTCAGTAAACAGAGTTGCCGCTATTGTGTTCTAACCTCTTGTCATGCAGCAACATTGAGTCAACAATCCACTCTCATGGCTTAATGCTTTTGATGTTTACTTTGTTCTTTCTATAGTTCAGAAAAAAAGCACTAATGCACCAGTCCTCTTACCAAATACAATCTTAATCCCAGAATCCCGAGCCGTTTGCTGTTGGCCAGTTAAGTCTGTTAAGACGAAAGGATTTGATCAAGCTTTACATAACAACACAGAAGTTAAATCCAGCAAAGAGAGCTCTTTTTATCTGTACTGCTCAGACGGCTAAGAGGGGGAAAAGAGAGAGAGAAGAAAAAAAAAAAAAGGTAATGAACTTGACTATGTAAAACAAAATAAGGAATTCAATTATTTCTCTTACTGCCACTCTGTCTTTTCAGTGAGAGTCTTCTAAAGAATTCAGATTTATTCTCCAGTAAAATCTTAGAGGTGAGGCTGTAACTTTCCCTGAACCTAAAAGAACTGTGGCACCTGCTGTGCTTTTTTGCAAATCTGAGAAATGTTTCTTTTTCATTTTTCCATCCCTACTGTGTATTTATGAAGACAGAATACAGTTCATTGATTAGACACTTGCCTGGTACTTGGTAAGAGCTGGGTTTGAGTGTTTGTTATTCATGTTCTTTGTATGCTTAGTCCAATCAACCATGTTTCAGTGTGATACAGCTCCCTATCTCTGAAACTACTTTTCAGTGATGTTGATGTTACCTTATGACACATGAATGTATAGTAATGCAACATACATGTATTGTACCAGTGTATATGTAAAGGTTGTGAGTAGCAAAATGAGGGCAGAACAACTTTTTGATGGAAAATTAATATACTTCTTAGAATATTAAGTACCTTTTCACACAAAACATTTCTATGCAGAAAAGAGCTATGAGTGATCATCGTGCACCTAAGCCGCATAAAATTCAAGCTGTGCCCTAACAAAGGTCTCAAATCATGTTTCAGCCTCACTTTATGCTAATATCACAAGTTTATGCTAGCACTATCACAATCATCCAAATATGTTATGCCTGTAAAATGTACAAAGTTATGCGTAAAGGGTGAAAGCATCCTGCTTTAACACAATGCTTCTGGTATAATCTGTTAACTAGAAGATTTCAAATGCCCCATTCAAGTGGGAAGTGGCTAACACTGTCCCCAGCATGAAGCACAGCCTGAAGATCTGAAAGCAGAAGAGATAAGGACCAAGCCTTGGCAATCTGCATATGTTTGCCTGAGCACTGGGTGGAACAGTTACCTGCCTCCTAGCTGGAAAGATGCCAAACAGCTCTTCCCCTGTGGCAGCACACAAAGGAAGGACCACCTGTCCTAAATCTTGTCTGCACTACTCACCTACTTCATAAGAAATGAGATGCATCAGAAGTAATAATGTAAAACTGCTGGAAGACTGAAATTACAGTAGCCTAAATGGCTTTACACTCTAATAAACAGTCCTGATGCTGACTAGTTTGGAAATAACATACATTGGATACTATGCTTGCTATGCAAGGCAATTCTACACACAAAGGACGAAATAATTAGAGACACAGGAAAATGAAATTATTCACCTTACTGATGTTTAATATCCTATGTTAAGTAGTGTCTCCTATAGCTCTGAAAATTAAAACCCCATCCTTTATTAGAGTTATGTCTTACTATGAGCAGAAAGGAAAACTGTTTTGAAGTTAAATACAGAAGCACTTCTAACAAACACTGACTCCATCACGGCAAGTATGTCCTGCTTTTGTGTTTAACAACAGCCTACAAGCAAGAGCTGAATTCGAGCTCATATGCTACAGGCACATACTAGGGAATATTCTTTGTAAACTACAGATGTGATAGAAACATGGGATCCAAGAAACACAGTATATTAACATATTTCACAGGTAAGCAACTGGAAGACAGACAGCCTTAACATAGAGAATCTTTCAAGTTCTCTTTAGACAGAAGTCTCTGCCACTGGAAACAAATGACTGGATTATAAAAGGACATATATTTCCCAGTTAAGCTTGACACAGTTCATTGCTCCAAATAAATTAGGCATATTATTTCCACTAGTCTATAATACAAATCTAGCACACTGCCCCAAGCAACCACTTGTAACACTACAGGGTTTCTGAAGTCTCATTTTCTGTTTTTTTTAACAGAATGAACAGTAATGCCCTCAAATTAATCTCTTCCATTCATCAACCCCCACTTGCCCAACTGGTGTTGAAGGTACCTCCGATATGTTCTCTGTCCATACTCAAGGTCCCCAAAGGCCCTTCCCACCACAACAATGGTTCCATCTCCACTTCAAGGAGAGACCTAATCATAGGGGAAGAGACCAAATGAGCCTCAGATGAAGTTCTCTGAGGCAATAATGATTCCACTCATATTCAAGAGACATGTATAGAATAAGAGCCTCTGGTCCTTATTAGAAATTAGTGCAGGAGATGCTGAGTCTGGTTTGTGTAACCCTGAAGAGTGTGCAGTGTATCACAAAACCCAGTGCTAACATTTTCAGTGATTGAGTTTACTGCCTCTGCTGGGGACAATGATATTCACTACTGCTACTAGTGCCAAAAAAAGTAGAAAATATTGTGAGACCTTGAATTCTTTTTGAAGTCACCTATCTGGACTTGTGTAAAGCGTTCAACACTGTCCCACATGACATCCTTGTCTCTAAATTGGAGAGACATCAATTTGATGGATGGACCACTCAGTGGATAAAGAACTGGCTGGATGGCCACACACAAAGAGTTGTGGTCAATGGCTCAATGTCCGGCTGGAGACCAGTAACAAGTGGCGTCCCTCAGGGATTGGTGTTGGGACCGGTCTTGTTCAACATCTTTGTTGGTGACATGGACAGTGGGATTGAGTGCACCCTCAGCAAGTTTGCCGATGACACCGAGCTGTGTGGTTCCGTTGATACCCTGGAGGGAAGGAATGCCATCCAGAGGGACCTTGACATGCTTGTGAGGTGGGCTGATGCCAACCTCATGAAGTTTAACCATGACAAGTGCAAGGTCCTGCACCTGGATCGGAGCAATCCCAGGCACAGCTCCAGGTTGGGCAGAGAAGAGATTCAGAGCAGCCCTGCAGAGAAGGACTTGGGGGTGTTGGTCAATGAGAAAATGAACATGAGCTGGCTTCAGTGTGCACTCGCAGCCCAGAAAGCCAACCGTATCCTGGGCTGCATCAAAAGGAGCGTGACCAGCAGGTCGAAGGAGGTGATCCTGCCCCTCTACTCTGCTCCTGTGAGACCTCACCTGGAGTATTGTGTGGAGTTCTGGTGTCCTCAACATACAAAGGACATGGAACTGTTGGAACAAGTCCAGAGAAGGGCCACGAGAATGATCAGGGATCTGGAGCACCTCCCGTATGAAGACAGGCTGAGAAAGTTGGGGCTGTTCAGCCTGGAGAAGAGAAGGCTGCATGGAGACCTCATAGCAGCCTTCCAGTATCTGAAGGGTGGCTGTAGGGATGCTGGGGAGGGACGCTTCATTAGGGACTGTAGTAACAGTGTAAAGAATACGAGAATGATTCATGTCAAGAACTTAGAAATCATTGTTACCAATGCACCCGTGACCAGTGTACCATGTGTGGAATGTATAAAAACGACCTTGACTATAATAAATGTTGCTGTCAGTGTAATGATGGGAAAGAAGAAGAAACAAGGGAATAAGCTAGTCCCCTCTTTAATCATTTAAACTGTTAAAACAATAAGGAACGCTTTTAGCTTTGTTTAGCTGCTTGAATGCTTTAAGGAGGTTAGGTAACCAAGGAGACACATCCTGTTAAATATATGGGTCTAAGATTGTGGTTAAGCTTGTGATAGACATCTTTCTGTTAATGTATTACCGAGAAGTTTCAGTATGTTTCTTTACCTGGAGAGAAGACCCCAGCAAAGGGACAGAAACAAATGAAAAGGAGCCACAACGAGTTTCAGGCAAAGAAGACAACAGGATTGGCTGAAACTCAAAACCAGGAACTGAAACCCTGGACCAAGAAGTATAAGAGACTGTACCCCAAAAACCCCAGTGTGCGTTGTTGGCGGAGCAGAGACTCCCCGCGCACCCAGCGCTGCTTGCTTATTGCCTCTTGTTATTAATCAATTGTAATAAAATAAGTAAATCAGATCATGGCCAAGGCTAAATTTTTATAACAAAATGACAAGGGGTAACAGCTTAAAACTTAAACAGTGGAAGTTTAGATTGGATATAAGGAAGAAATGCTTTCCTGTTAGGCTGGTGAGGCACTGGAATGGGTTGCCCAGGGTGGTTGTGAATGCTCCATCCCTGGCAGTGTTCAAGACCTGGTTGGACGAGGCCTTGGGTGATACGATGTAGTGTGAGGTGTCCCTGCCCATGGCAGGGGGGTTAGAACTTGATGATCTTAAGGTCCTTTCCAACCCTAACTATTCTATGATTCTATTCTAAAACACTTGGTCCCTATGATCCAAGTGGTTGAGTTTTTTGATACTAGGAAGACAGTGGTAGGAGATTCAGAAACAATGCCCTATTCCCACCTTAAAAGTTTTGCCAGGCAAAAGACACATCAGTATACTAAGAACACACTCATATATGCATTTGCACACTGATTATTCACTGATGTACTCCCATATCCCTTAATATTAACTAATAAATTTTGTTCTTTACATACCTTCTAGATGAAAGTGATCATCACCAATAGTGTCTCTGTAGCCTTCCCCAGATAAATCCTGTAAAAAAAAAAAAAAAAATCACAAATGTACTATATACAAAGTTTGGAGGTGTTAAGAATTTTTATTTAATTCAATTAGGACTAATTTAAACCACTAACAAGAACAGAGAAGTTGTTTTCCAGAAAGTGAGTCAATCACTTTTATTAGTGCTAGTCAATGAATTTTGTTCTATTTTACAACGTTCTGGACATACCTGAGGACAAAAATTCAATGGAGATTAATAGATTGTACAGGGGAAAGAAAAAGAAGTGCTCATATTCAAATTCCTTTACAAAGTAGATTAATATTTAGCATTTCAACATTCTGTCAATCAAGCAAGATAAAAAAACTCCACATAGAAACAATAAAGGAGAAATAAGCCCTTCACTGCCCACAGAGGAATGTTATCACTTGGTTCCACCAACAAACAGAAAACCTTTATATGCCAGAGGTCACACAAGAAAAGCAGATATCAGACTCTGAAGAGCTGCTTCATCCCTCAATCCTGAAATTAATGAAATTTTGTTAGCCACAGGACATCTAGAACAATACAGAAGCTGATGCCATAGATATGCAGACATGGATCTTATCTCAGACCCCTAAAACATTTCTCTAATGGTGCTCAAGTAGGGCATCAGTGGGATTTGGAGCTAATCCCACTTACAAAGACCCTGAAGAGCATTCTTACACTCTTATTAGCAGACCCTTCCAGCTCCAGACCCCACCTCTACCTAAACCATAAGCAGTGACAGCTATTCTCATGTTCTGCCTTCTCCCATTCATTCCACAGGCTCTGGCATCACCGTATCATCACTGAGCTTACATTATAGTGTGGTTCCCTGAGTTCTACACTTTCTGGCACTGATAAACAGTTATGGTGATAAAGAAGGATAGGGTCCTAAAAAGCTGGTGTGCTGTGCTCATTGCCACTTTTTCACCTGCAAAACGTACCAGGAACACAGAGAGAGCATTCTCGGCATCAACCTGGAATTTGGCAGTTCAGAGCTTTTTGCATAAGGTAAAAATAAAGGGAATAACCTGTGAAAATTAATGTTTGGTTGTATTCATTATCTTTATTGCTAAGCAATTTAATCTGATAAAAACTGTTCACCTTTTTTTCTCAAAAAAGCTGACAGAGATTCTTTTCTGCTTTCCATATGCCCAAATGTTATTCTTTGAGATTAGTTATCAGAAAGTAACTAAGCCACAAAAGCATATCTTAGGAATTCTTCAGTATCAGTTTCTGCAACAGCCTTTTAAAAATCAGATTTCACAAATGCTATTGGATAGCTAGCCCAGAGATCCTGCAAATATCATTCTTTTCATAAGCAGATACCCTGAAATAAAGTTAAAACTCCAGGATCAAATGGCCCTGAGAAATGATGGCAACCTGGCCCAGAATGCTAGGATTTTGCACCGCACAATGCTGCTATAAAAGCTGCCATTCTGGATTTAGCTTTCCAAGAAGCAAATAACAAAAAACATTTTGTTTCCTTGAGTTTTTGTTCCAACAAAAAGGTCTCTTTTTTGAGCATGTGATGAAGAATATCAATCATTATGTTAAAAATTATGGAAGAAATGGGCAGTGAATGAAAAGGAGCCATTACATGTTGGCATAACTTACATTTCTGCAAGTAGATGATATTTCCAGGCCTTATAAAAGTTAGTATACTGTTATTTATCGAATTCCCTCATGTCATCATTTTCCGTGAAGCTCTGAAAGTGCAGCTCTGACTGCTCTCATAATGAGATACAGAGAAGTGACTGCTTGCTCCCACAATGCTAAATATTTAATAACCGGTTGGTTGGTTTGTCTGGTTTTTACTAAACTCAGAATTCTTGCTCCCTCCCACTCTCTTGGGAAACAAAAAAATATTTTCTGTTAGACTGATCAGTAAATATGCAATGTGTAGGTATGATCTTACTTATGAGGTACCTCTGAGGAACACTAGCTAGCCGGTAGCCTTCATCTCTTGAAATTTTTGCAAAGCAAACAGTGCATCTGAGTATCAAATATCGGCTGTTAAAATGATGCCATTAGTCTCATCCTCCACAAAACCCACAAGACATTAGTTTTTATGATTTTTTTCACAAGATATCACTTAAAAATGAGCATACATTTGTTGATGTTAAATGCACCACCAAGTAACTCAATGGAAAAGAGTGGAAGGCGGAAGTGTAAAACAGCAGAAAGCAGTAATATTCATTAAGCTAGCTTCCTTATTTTCTTACTCTTAATCATTATCTGGGTCTTAAATAAATATATTTTATAGTCTAGTTTTACTCCTTCTCCATCTCCTAGTTATTTAAGTCGAAGTAGTAACCCAATGCAAGAAAATTCCCAGTAAGTATTTCTGCTTTAAACCAAATTATTATAGCTTACCAAATTCTAGGAAAGAGTTTTTATTATGTTGAACCATAACTGTTAGATAGCACAAACTGACAATCCATCCTGAAACTGATGACACTATCATTTCAACATTTTAGTAACACATTTAAGCGGAATTTATCAGCTCTGATTCAGATGTGCTCCTCTGGGTATGCAAGACTGTGACATGTATTATCTTTCATAGACAGATATGTATCTGCAAGAGGTGTGGGCAGCTCTTAAGATTTTACAGGGAAAAAACGAAGGAAAAAAAGAAACTATCATTCATCTTACTGTGATTATCTCTTCTGTCAAAAAACCTGCAAGACAGTTACTTGAATATTTTTAGCAGCACTGAGACAGATACCACAAACTGGATAATATCAAAATGCACCTGCTTGAGAAAAGGATTCTGGACAGTGTATGTAAACTCACACTCAAAAGGAAAGTACAAAAGCTGAACAAGTATCAGTGAAAACAATTCTGACTGTAGCCAGTACTGTATAATTGAGTACTTTCCCTATGACTTGTACAAATTGCCTTAACATGAATATAATAATACATCTACCTCCAGCAACCCAAATTCAGAAAATGGACTAGAGTGAAAGAGGAAATGCATAAAACAGAACTTGTAGCTCAAGAAATTCCAGTGGGTAGCAAGTGCTATTGCCAGGTAGAGATATTTAACAGTCGGGAGAAGTGTGCTGGAGCACAAAGGCCACACAGGCTCGAGGGGATGATAAACCTGCATTGGCTCTGCTGTTTGGCCAGGCTGGGCAGCATGGGCCTCCCCACACCCTGCGGAGCTGCAGGAGCCAGGTCTGCGGCAGCAGTGGAGACAGAGGGTAAAAGCAACAACATTTAGGTCATAGGTAGTTGTATATCACTGTCCTGACACCATGTTTTAAATCACAACACTGAGTTTTCGAAGTGCAACACTGAGTCATGAAACAACCAAAACCAGATGTACCCTGTTAAATACTATATAAGTGAGGTCAGTGAGCACTTGAAAGAGTAAAGAAAAGAAATATTTACATAGAAGGATTATTCCAGCATGATATTTCTGTAGGTTGCTAAACAGGAACCCATCTAGAATAAGTGTCTCTACCTCTCTGGGAGTTTCCCAGATAAATAACTTGGCCTCTGTCAGCTACCATCACAAATCACACAGAATGACTATGATTCAGGCTCAAACATCTGCTTCAAAACTCTGAACAGCTGGCTGCCTGGCCTGGGTAGGACAGGCCTTGTGGCCCACATATCTCATTCTGATAGGTGCTGCTGTACTCAGATTTAAGAGTCTGGAGGTGGAGAGAAGAGTTAATTACTGCAACTCCCTTAGAAATGTTGCTGAGTATATACATAGATGAGGAAGAAAAACAATCTTTAAGAGCTCCCACACCCCAGGGCTTCTATTCAGCTGGTTACAAGTCAGGCAATTATCACTCACTTCCCACCTTTGCCATGCAATCAGACTTCAATGGGTTCTAAGTTGCTGGGAAATTTATTTTGTTTAACCCCAATATCAGCCCTAACCACCCTGGACAGTTTCTTACTGATACAAGTTTCTGGAGAGTCCAGGCACTGCTGCTTCCAGCTACTGATTTCCTTTTCACCAGCTGTCTGAAAATGCTACCATTCCATTGTTCTGCCAGCACCACTTTATTCTTCTGATGCCTTTGCTGGCTCCTTTTCTCCTCCTACATTGGGGTTAAACTCCTTACCTTCACCTTCCAGGCTCTACACAGTTGTATTTGCATTTGGGTTCACAACTCCTCGGCCTGTGTCTAGCTCATATGCCCACTGATTCTTTTGATCTTGGTCATAAGTATGACTCTACTTGTCCTGGCTCTGCCTTTTCAGGCCACTCTCCATGACACCCAGCACGTAAGAACCAAAACTACAGAATGCAGAGTGCACATTTTATCAACCTACGTTTGGACTAACATGACATTAAATACAGTTTTGTTTTTGGTGTAAGTAGAGTCAGCTACATTCACAGATGTAACTAGATGTATCAAAGGATAACCTTTAATTTAAGTAGATAATTATGATAACAAGCACATTTTTAAAGTTTGGACCCCCCTACTCTCTGTATTACATCCCAGTCAATATTATGTTAATTAACATTTCTCTAGAAAAGTATTGCTTAAGTAGAAACAAGTTGCTTTACCTCTCCTTCTTCAAACGTCTCATTAAAATCCTTTGATTTAACCTAAGATACTCAATTTTCCACATTTTTGGCAGAAAATATGCATTTTTCCTGATTAAGTGAAGTTCTTATCAAGGTATCATTATCCACCACTTTCCCCAAGTAAAACAAGTGCAAAAGCAAATTATCAACCAAGAAAACTTTCCTCCCTATCTTGAACCAGCTGAGTGAAACATGTATTTTTTTCTCTCTTTATTCTCATATTGATGCAATAAAGTTCCAGTACTTTTGGAAAGAGCAAAGTTGAACACATTTCACAACAGCAAGGGACAAAATATGTGGTAACTCTAATATCTGTAGAGTAGATTTTAGAATGGTTTTAAAGTAGATGCCGACAAGAATGCCGTGTCACCTATGCACAAACTTTCATTCTTGATGTAGACAAAAAATAATCCCAAGAAATAGAGGTTCAAGAGAATAAAGATGCCCTTTGGCTTT